GGCCCAGAGTCCCCAAAGAGTTCCTGAAACTGGACTTTTGTCCAAAATTTAAAACATTGGTCCTGACCTGATCAACTGACTCCAAATATCCCCAGAGTGCCAGTTGTCTGATGCAGCATTATGCTACCAAGCAGCGTGTGGACATAGATATACTGCTCCTGCTTGGGGGAGAGCCTGTGTTCGTGAGTTCTTCACCCAGCATTGAAAATCAGCTCACGGGCAAAAAAGCAACACCATGCAGCAGTTAAGGAGCAACCCAAAATGAAACTGGAGGATTACCTAAGCTGGAAGTGGTCTGGCATATAGGTAGTTAGAAGCCTGGGGTTTGCATATTGTGTGAAAGGCGTTAGCTCCACTCTCAAGAGTCCTGCCTTGCACACTACTGCTTGGTACTGGCATAGAAGGAAGAATGCCACTCACTGAGCCACTATATCCTACCGTTCATCTAGCATAATGTTCTCCCTTCCAAGTACTGATCCTGTGCTACCCTGCTTAGTGTGAGGTCTAAATGGATCTATAGCTACAGGTAGTAAAGGAACAGCACTGAAGCAGTAGAAACAGTGACTGCTTTTTGTGATGATCCCGTTGTTCTGATACCATTAGGGTATGTGCATGTGGGTATTTGAAAAAGGGAATTCCTATAAGCAAGTGAGCATTTGCACTACAGCCTATTTTTCATTAATACTTGCAAGGAGATCAGAATATATCGATCTTATTAAGCCTTTCATTTTTGGTTAACATCTCTCTAATAGGTTATCTGTTGGCTACAGAAAGGGTGATGGGGAGGCTTGTACTATGTGCATGCTGTTTTATTTGCCCCATACAATCTGTTTCCTTACCAAACAAACAAGCAAAAAATGAGCTGGGGGGGACCAGAGCTAAAATGAAGATATAGACTGAAGCAAGATATCATTCACAGGCCAGCCACTGCGTGCCCGAGGCACACCGCACCACTGCACTTGGCAGGAGTGTTTTAATCCTGTAATGCATGACTTGTCTTGAGAGGGAAGTGATCACAGCTAGACCTTGCTCTCTCACACTACATGAAGTCCCGTTAGTATCTGTCATTGTAGTATCACCCAAGATGAGTATTTGCCAATCTTTTGGCCCACTTGACAATCTATTTTTTTTTGTTTTTTGGTAGCTTGTTTTGGTTTTTATCCAGTGACTATCTTGGCTGTGGCTGTTATTGGTGTTACTGTTACTATTATTTTCATACCACTCTCTCTTGTGAGCTTTATTTGTTACTCAAGTAAAGGTCAGATATCTGACATCAGACCAATATTTGGTTGTACATGTATCGATTTGCAAAAGATTTCTGCTGGCTTTGAAGGTGTCATCTCAAGTCTGGGGAAAAATATTTTTTTGGAACCTTCAATTCAGTTCAGCCTAAGAAAGGGGTCATGCCCAATGATCAAAAAGGCTGGGTTATCCATCTCTCGGTGGTCTGAAAATTTTCTGGATGCAGAATTGGATCCTACTAGGTTTAGAGCGATCTTTTTTTCAGTGCAAAACTGTCCCTTAGTCTGGCCTGAGTAAAATCTATTAAAGGGTGTCAACTGTATGGACATAATCAAAATTGTTAAAGGGCATTTGCCCTATATTAAGAATAGCATAAATGTGTTCCCAAGATCATGCTTACAAAATAAACCTTGGCTTTCATTTTGCTTGAAAAATGGAGGGTTTCAATTTAATTTAAAACCTACAAGGACGATGCCAGAAATGAAGCAAGCAAAATTAAACAATCAAAATCCTGTGCATTCATTTTGGCATTTTAAACCCCAGTGCTAAGTGATTATATCATTCTGAAGATCCTTAACAGGAGGAAACAATGATCTGCCTTGGCTTACTTAGCTAGCTCATGAAAACTCCAAGGTATTTTTGTATGGTAATTCTTGCATAGAGTTTCCCACTATAGGGGGAGCTTAGTAGGGTATGTCAGTACCCCAGATGCTTTTTCTAGCCCACAGGAATTGTATAGTATGAATGCTGGCATATAGCTCTGGGCACAAAGAGGAAGCTTTGATTTGTTGTTCCATGCTATGAGTTCTTAGTCTGTATGATCTGCAAGAACCAAAAATAGTAAACCCGTGGGTAGACTATATGTGTGATCAGGGAAATGCACAAAGCTAGGAGATGATAGAGCAGAATAAGGATGAAGCAAACTCTACACTCTCCTATGTTAGATCCCTTCCCTCATCTTCTTTTATCTCTATCTTACCAAGTAATGGCTTAGTTGTATGCCTGATTGAAATCAATCAAATGACTTCATCAACTGAAGCAGAAGATGGAATGGCCCTTACATGGAGTTTTAAGACAGGGGTCATATATATACTCAAAGGCTAGGGACAGAAATTACATATTAACCACTATAAGTGATTGGAAATTGCTTCAAATCTGTAACACAACAGAAGTTCGGTGCACATAAACCGCTTTCAAAATGGCTAAAACCAGTTTAAGATAAACTTGGATGGATGCAATATCAGACTTAATTGATTTAGGTTAAATTGGTTTATTGAATTTCTGTCCCAGATCCCCTTCAGATTCAAGTTAACTCATAGTCCCTCAGCATCCCAGGATGCTTTGTGCCTCCCCCTGCAACCCTCCCCCCTCTCACAGGATGGGCAGACTAGCCTTGGCCCAAGCAGTCTGCTCCAGCTGAGCAGGGAGGCGTGCTCTAGTGTCCCCCAGCTTGTGTCCTGGGCCACTGCAGGCAAGTGGGGCATTTCCAGAATCAAAAGCAAATGTCTGTTCATTTGCGTATTGGTTCAGTCTACTCAGCTTAGACTAACCTGTGAATATTGAATCTATTCAGCCTCAGGCTTTTTGGCTGTCTGTACTTAGCTTAAGAGATTTCTACACGTTTAGTATCCATAACTGGGGTCAGACTTTAAAAGAGCTCTGCTGCCACTGAGGAACATCAGTAAAACCACATGTCCAACAGCGTTTAGCATTTGATCAGGTGGGCTTTTTGGAAAACTGGTGCCAATTGTTAGAATTGAAACTTTCCAAAAGTTTAGCTCCCCAGAACTGAGCAGTCATACACCCTTTACTATGGCACATGCTGTTCAGGTTCCTATTTTTATTGTCTTCTGCTTTCTCCAGGGTTGCATGGGCAAGGGTTTAATTACAAGACAGCAAACTTAACTCTTTACCGTCAGAATATTATACAAGTACCAACCTCAGCAAAAGGCTTCTTATGAATTCTTGCTTACTACCTCAGTAGTAAAAACAAAGAGCTCATCTACACATGCACTTTAATGCATATTAGCCTATTTTAATGCTCATTAAAGCATCACTAAAATGTGCTTTTTGGCTAGTGCACATTAAGCATAATTTAAAAAACATGCTTTTTAGTTAATGCAAATTAAGACAAGCTAATGCACATTTTCTTAGTACCTCACATTGAAGGTACTAGATTTAATGCACATTAACTAAAGCTCATTAATGCACGTGTAGATGCTCCTAAAGTAAAAATCATAGGAAAATGTTACTTCGGCATGCACAGCATTACTGATTCAAAACATTGGGAAAAAAATAATCAATTTATCTCTGCAGTGCCTGCAGAGGTGCACCATGTGCAGCCAGAGCTGGGAGTCCCATAGCTGATGGCACTTTCTGTCCTGGCAGAGCCCCATAGCTGTGGACTCCACCCTAGAAGCTGTGGTATGCTGTCAGGATGGAGAGTCCTTCCAGCTGCAGGACTCTTTGTCCCAGCAGCCACAGGACACTGCCATAGCTGTGACCTGGGTCAGCTATGAGACTTACAGCTGTGGGAGCTTGCTACTTGCTGATGCAGGGGGAGTATGAGATGGTAATCCCAGGCTCCCCCGGTACCAGCAATAAAGCATGGTAGGAGTTGATGCTGGATCTTGCAATCACAACTACTGCCATGCACATGTGCCACAGCAGGAGGCATGATTGTGTGAATAGTGCATCAGATCCTATCATGCCTTTTCCTGAATATCTACAGGGGTCCTCTGAGTCTTTTTTTTTTTGTTTGTCCTTCCCATATAATCACATGCCTCCAGAAACTGTGACTTTACAGAGACACATAAAAATGATCATAAAGTTGCAGGACTCATTATAGACTCACGATAAAGTTGCAGGATCTGTCAATACTGCATGAATATTCAGTAAGAATTTGCATTTCCTCATGGTCAGAGCAGACAAAAGTTAAAATATCAGGGCTTTTGAAGCCTTTGGCAAGCGGCCACAGAGTTTTTATTTCATTTTATTTTATTTTATTTTGTTGAATCAATTCCTCTGCTAATAAAATAGTGTTGTATGCAGGTTGCCTGAGGAAGGCTGTTTTGCTTTTATAGGCCAGAACATTGTCTGTGGCTAGATTTTTCTCTCAATCCAATAACAAACAGGGTCACAAACAGAACCTTTACTTTTTCACATTAGGAGGTATAATGCAAGAGTCAAGTAAGCAGAGGTGATTTACAGCTACTTCTCAAATGTTTTTCTCTTCATATTGACCAAAATGGGTATCAAGCAAATGAAGAGGAACTATGTAATAAGAAAACATGCTTTCCTCAGGACAGAATAACTTATATAGACAGTGGACAATGGATGAAAAATGAATGAGAGTAAAACCACATCCTTTAGAGGGCTGGCAAGGTTAATTATAAAATTACAGTTCCATTGATTTTACTCAAATAACTAAATCAAGGTCAAGTCCTACCCAAACCTAGCACACCATTGGGCTAGTGTGGTTAAGGCATGCCCACTTCCATAGCCAATAGAGCATATGAGAATGATGAGGCTAATACCATGTCTTATAGCATGCGGCAGAGTAATTGAGTTGTAAAATGTAGGTAACAATAAAAGGCGTGTCACTAATGTCCTTTTTCCCTGGTAGTCTGTCTTTGATAGGTTGTAGACATGTGCTGTGCATTCAATAAAATGTAAGCAACATATTTGTTTTTCAGGTTGTGTTAGTACTGGTAAAAGCAGTGCCAGATTTCACCCTTCTACTTGTCTTCCTTTTTTAGGGTTTGATACGTATTTTACCTCACGTACACTGGAGAACAACAGAAGGAATGTGTGGTTTGCAGAATATTGGGAGGAGAACTTCAATTGCAAGTTAACAATCAGTGGGTCAAAAAAAGAAGACACAGATCGTAAATGCACAGGTAATTGTATTCACTTCACCCTTCTCATGCTACCGTACGTGGCTTGCATTGAAATGTCTGCATAGCTGACGCAAGGAAGCTTGGTTGGAAACAGATTGAAAAAATAAATTGAATTTTAGTAGTTGTAGAGAAAATGGAAAAGGAGCATAAGCCTTGCAGGACAAAAGAAATAGATGGAGAGAGGCAAAAAAGCATTCTTTTCTATCTTTTTTTTTTTCTGTCAGTCCATTCAGCCATAATTGGCATTTGCCAATGATTCCAGGGATACAGAAGAGGTCACCTTGTTTTGAATATTTGGGTAGTGGGTTTTTATTTATGTGTTTCTAGGTAAAAAGTTGCGTAAGACCGAATATTGATTTCTGTCATGAAGCTATGAAATATAAAGTAGCCTTCCGCTATATTAAAACATTTGGACCATGTATGCACTGTATAGCAATGATTCAGAATATTTTGGATAGTGATATTACAGTCTGTATCTCTGTTTGAACTTACCTTTTGATGAAACATATCTGTAGAAAATATGATGCTACAGAACAATATGTTCTAATCTTAGGACAAGTAAAATATCATCCAAAATGTTATTCTAGTAAATGTAATTTAACAGAAAGACAAGTCATTTTTTCAGCCTCAGCACTTCAATACAGGAAGCCCTGACCTACAGCCTTTCTGGCTTAAATTTATGCCATCTCCACTGGTCCTCTGGATCACCTGTGACTATATCTCTTTTCTTCTTACTATCACCCAATGTTGGTCCTGATCTATTTAACATATACTCAAAGTCTAATGGTTTCCAGTAGGTTCTCTTCATGCTGAAATTCAGTTTTATGGTATTCTTTCTGGTCAGATGCCAGCATAATACTGGTAGTAATGTAGGAATATAGGACAGGAAGGAGCTGTCCAGTCCCTTGCATTTGCAGGCAGCTATTGACTCAGTGATTCCTAAAGATCACCACTTCAAATGCTCATTTACAACTACAAGGCACGAAGCCAGTGGACATCAGGAACACACAACAACATGCCATGCCTCTGAGCAGGGTAAACAAGACCACTGCCAACTCCAAATCCTTACCGGTCTGACCTATGGGAAAAAATCCTTTCTGACACTAGATGTGATCAGACTGAGCAGAACAACCAAAACCTCTAGGCCAGGGGTGCTTATCCCCTGGCCCATGGGTGAGATCCAGGCCACAGAGCCATGTCATCTGACACATAGCTCCCCAAAGGACTTGAAATTTGGTGGCAGGAAAGCAATGGTAGCATTAATTGCTGCTTCCCTGCTGCCAAATTTACAGAACGCTGGGGAGTCCCACAGGCCAGATCACATGATCTTGCTCCCTAGATTGTGCTAGTGTGTGGCAGGTCCAGCCACAATGGGTCAGGCCAGCATGTAGGGTCAGATCTAGCATGCTAGATTGCATCTGTGGACCAACCCCATGCCATCAGCCTAGCATAGAATCACCCCACAGGCCAACCCTGTGCCACTCAGCCAGCTCTTGGGAATGGAAGGTTGGGTACCACTGCCCTAGTTGGCTGTCTGTAATGTCCCAATCAACTCCAAAGTCTTAACTATAGCCAGTGGCATTATCCATTCTTAATGCCCAAAATGGTGGGGGAGCGGTTTGGAAGAGCCCATTCCCAGTTGCCACCATCTCAGTTAAGTGATTTTGGACAGCCATTTCCAACTACATCCAAAAACAGGGCATCTTTAAATTTGTGTATAATCAGCCACATTTTTAAGGTAAAATGATAAAGGACACCAGAATGTATCTGCTAATGTCTGGTTGCAAGTGGTTGACTGTGGACTCATGCTGCAAAAAATTAGCCTTAAAAACCGTTCTTTCGATTTACTCCAACTATAGCCACTTTATTTTTTAGGTGGCCCATAAGCTTAGGAGGACAACTATCCACCTGATATATAGTGATGCAGTTAATTGGATTATGGAATATTTTTCCTTAAGAAACATACAAATGAAAATCCATTCTTGGATTCTCTCATCCAACAATACTATTTGTTTGAAAATTAATAAATGATCTTTAAAGTAACTTACAGAGCATTCATCAACTGCATCGTAACTTTGATAACCCGATCGTGCTTTTATTGTAATATATGCAACAGGGAAAGTGTGATTTTTGTTTTTCTTCTTCAGACAACACTTGCTGATATAAAGTGGTATGTTGACCCTCCCCAGCAAGCAGGAATTCAGAATGAATATTTTTTTTTCATGTATAGCAGGGCTCTCCAACTTCTAAGTCCCCAGGGGCCACAAGCCATATAGGCTGCATCAGGCAAGCCATGGGCCACTGGCCCATACAGACACTCTTTTCCCCCACCCTTTCCCAAACTGTTTCATGCACCCACATGGTCATCCACCCCAATTCTGCTCCACTTTTTTCTCCCCTCCCAGGCACACACACCCTATCCCAACACTACACCACAGAGAAATGATGTACTAGTCAACACTCCCATGGCCCAGAATCACCCTCAGCTCCCTGCACTGTGCTTCACTGCCCCCACCCTCTGAGATAGAGGCAGGAAGTGGCAGCCGGAGAAACAAGGGGGGGACTCCATCTGCTGCAGCTGGAGAGAGTGATGGAGGAGCGGTCAGGTTAGAATCTGGGTGCTGCAATTTAAGCCCTTGCAGGCTGTAGCTGGTCCATGGGCCACCAGTTGCAGAGCCCTGATGTATATCATGTCCTGTTGAAGTGTTACAGTATGGCTAGCTACTGTACTTAATAGCGTATGCTGATCTCAGACATCCTTAAGTGCAGAGCTACAAGGAGCAGGTGGTGTATGGGAAGCGGCATTAAATTGTCTTGCTTTTCTTTAGGCTTGTATGACTCTTGCAGTCACATTGGACTGAATAATACAGTCTCATGAAGTGCTGTGTGGCAGTGAAATGTTAGCCTATAACCAGCGAGAAAGAAGGAAATCGAGTAGTTAAGGTCATAGCATGGGATTTAGGAGGCCTAGATTCAGTGCTCTGCTCTTCTGCATCCTGGATAAATGCCCCAACCCTTGATCTACTGGGTAAAAGTAGGATACCACCATTCTCTCATCTTCTGGTAGTGTATTGTACAGTGTCCGTCCTGTTAGACAGGTAACGAGAATGCTGAATAGATTGAACTCTGCAGTCTGTACAGGTAGACCAGGTGGAAGAAGGCCCTAAAAGGGCTCAGGCATAAGATAAGCAACAAGCTGCTTAGTATTGTCAAGAGTGAGGTGCCTCAGTGAATGCTTCAAGTCAGAACACTCAGTCCCTCAGGAACTTTTGTGTCAGGAGTGCTTACAGGTTTAAGGATTAAGCAAGAAGGGGTTTTGAGGTTCTATATTTTGGACTATGGCACCTTAGTTACTAAAGCGACTAAGTCCTGTCTAAGTCCTTTTGCAGAACCCTTAGCATCTCTGTTAGAGGTACACCAATACAACAGTCTGATATCAGATCGGTACCTATATAAAGAAAATTGTCTATTTTGGAAATTGGCCTGATGTGGCCAATAATTTGGCTGATAAATGGCCCGTGCATGTGTGTAGTTGCAGCACAACATGTAGGCAGTGAGGAGCACAGCCAGCAGCTTGGAGAGCTGCGTGTGGCTGGTAAGTCTGGTACGGTGGAAGGGGAAGGGAGTGAAGGGGCATAGGGGTGCAGATCAAGGCCCCTGTGGTGAGGGTGGGAATGGAGCTAGGGCTGGGGAAGACACTGTCCAGCCAGGGAAGGGGGGGCTCATGTGGGATGGGGCAGCGGCTCATCTGGGGGGTGTGGGAAGAGGGGGTGGCTCCCACCCTTGTGTGCTGCTCATCCGGGAGCCACTTATCCAGTGGCTTGTCTGGAGGCTCCCACTGCTGCTCCTGCCACTCATCCAGGAGGGCATAAGGGGAATGTGTGCCCCTCAATCAGGGTGGCGTGGGCTGGGCCAGGTTACACTCGGGATGCATGACGGCAGTGCTAGGGAGGGGAGGTTGAAGGGGCTATGGCGAATTTTGGGGTGGCTGGTACCCTCCCTTCCCCCCCCACGTTGCCTGCTCCCAGCACTGCCATCACCCATCCTGAGTGTAGCCCCAATCCCAGCCTGCCCTGTCCCTCCCTGTGCAGATCCAGGGGCATACCCCCCCATGCTCTCTTGGAGTGCACGCAGTGGCAGGAGCTTCCCCCCTCCGTCATGCCCACTGGACAAGCCATGTCTCTGTCCC